AATTTGTGACAAAAATACCTTAATTTAATGTTTGTATAAAAGTATCCAATGACCAGAACTTTTCAAATTTTGAAATCAAATAAGATCTTGCAAAAATGTGTAAAAGATATCAATATTATCAAACAATACTAAATCAAAACAATTTGATATTTTTTTTTAGAAAGAAGCAATCAATTTTTCGTTATACTGCAGCGATTGGACGGAAATGAATTTAGAGTGTAAACAATTAATATTAATGGCGATGCGATGGAACGATTCGAAACAACTGAGAATGAGAATTTCGCCTACCAAAACTGTTAACATGGAAATGTGTGCTAATGTTCGTATTAAGTCAAAGATATAGGTTTAGTAAAATATGTGTACAGCGTATAAATTTGAATTATTATTTTTTTTTACTCTTTTAACTGTCTATTTTTCAATAATCAACAATTTATTTTGACTACCCTGGTGCTTTCAATCATTTTAATTTTCATATCTACCCACACAGCAATTTAAAAAAATGTTTCATTTCCCTTTTCATTTTCATCGCAACTATACAATTTGAAAGTTACCTTCGTCGTTAATGTCAAACTTATATTGTTACCTAGTTAGTACTTTAACTTAAGTTTATCTATCAATTTTGAACATTCAAACTTCATCGTTTAAAATACATATATATTTATATATATATACACATTTAAATATAAATGTATTATGGTGTAATTAATATAATAATAATGTTTACATTACTATTTTTCAGGTAATAAATTTATGTTATTCAGTACTTTCAGTTTTGATCAAACATAACACAAAAAACCTAGATCAGTAATTTTTATTTATACAATATGTAATGTAAAATGTTAAGCATGGATAATTTATGTTAGTACTTACGATAATAATTAGTTACATGCGTAGGTATTATTTATTAAAATATAATAGTAGCATTAAAGCAAGAGATTTTTTTAATCATTTATTATTTATCGTTTTTATAGAGTAATTAACAGTAAAAAGCAAACAAGCTCTAATTTAAAATCATAAATATATTGTATTTATGATTTTAATATGCATAAGTTATTAAGAGGACGCTACACTGGTCATTTCTAAGGAGTAAAGTATAGGCAATTTTTCGAAAAATCTTAATTTAGAGTTTGAACTATAATGTATACTTATTAATACAGTAATGAGGATACTTAGTTGATTGCCATTTTTTTGTCAGACTATCACAGTCATGTCTATAGGATAAATTACAATTTTTTTCCTATCAAAACTGCTTTGCGTGGATTAATTTTTCTCAGGCATATTATTTATGACAATATTATCTGTGTTCCATCATCCGTATTTTTTCGATATACCTAATACAACCAACGCTATATAATTTGTAAAAAAGTCCTTTTTTAATTAATTAATTATTCATTAACTGGTTGAAATATTAAAAAAAGGGTGATGGTAGAACACAGACAATGTTGTTGTCTATATTATGTAAAAATTTGGTTTCTTAGTTCTGATTATAGCCTTTTTAAAAGTAATCCGCGCAAGGCGGGTTTTTTATTGAAAATAATGGATGTGTGACGTCCTCTTAAAGTTAGTACAATACTCATTGGAACACCGACTAAAATTTTAAATTTAATTCTCTAAGTTATTTTTCCTTATTATTATTTTTATTAATAAAATCTGTTGGGATTGGTATCTATACAATTTGGTTTAAAGTTAATATTATATTGTAAATATTTAAAAATGAACTTGCAAGCATTAAATATTTGATTAAATTTATATTATTAATTTAAAAATGTACTTTAATACAAAGTTGATTGTACTCGTTCTTCTAGTCTGCTAGTATTAATACTAATAAGATAAACATTATAATGATTGTTTTTGCTCTAAAACCATCATGGGTCAAGCAAAACGGGTTCTGTATAGTTATAACCTTTGACTATTGATTAGGTAAGAAAAACGTTATTAAAACCGCTATCATAATCTGATTTATCCGCCATTAATGTATTACCAATAAGAATTCGTTTTGGCTGTACTAATTGTACTTTCACTTTAGTTTTAGTATTAAACTACAGTTTTGCGAATATTGCCTATATCTAACCCCTTAATAATAAGGAATCTGACACGCGAACCGACGTGTACTGAAATTGCATAACTAGTGTGCCGTCCTAACAATATTACGTTATTTTAATAACCACAATTAATTAAGTTTTGTACTTTTATTTGAAAATCGTATATTATGTAAGCTTTGATGCACAACTAAGAGTACTATTTCAGGTTGTGTACTTTGTATAAATATATTTAAATTTATTATAAATAAGTACTAAATAATTAAAAATAAAATCAATATTTTGTTTTATTATTTTACTGTTAAATAAAATAATTTTTTAAATTACAATCACTTTAAACGACTTCACATTAGTTATAGTTCTAGAACTATTTGTATATATATATATATATATATTTATTTTTTTTATTGTGATTTATGAGTTTTAAAAATCTCCAATAAAGAACAATTTTAACAGAAGATATATTATTATAACTACCACACATTTGCATGTTTAAAAAATGAATTACCTTTTTAATACCTACATACATGAAAATTATTTTACCAGTCATGTTTCAGAACTAGTTCTCAGATATAGTCTACCATTTTTTAGATATATCATCCAGAATGTTTAGTAGATTTTATAAAAAAAAGTATACTGTGTATATCATAAAATAATCTACTGGCTTATAGTTCAATTTTGCTAACTTTGTTTGAAATTGTTTATACTAGTCTATATTACAAAACATAGGTAGTTATTATGTTGAATTATTATAACTTCAACGAATTGATCTGCGTCGAATGTTTTCCAGCTGTATAGTTTCATCCGAACTTGAACGGGATATATTGTAATAAACAACGTCAGCTTGAATAAAATTATTGTTATCAATGTAACGCAATAGAATTCACCACCAATCGATCAAGGTCAATTGTGTATGAAGACATTTCGTATGAATATTATAACATTTACATTAAAGGTGGTGAGCTTTGATTTACATAAGCTTAAGAAATGTAATTTCTACGTTCCCCCATACAAACCGATTGGTTTTGTGTTATATGTTCCACGCAATAATGAAACACTCCTAATAAGGTTGAAAAATAATGAGGATTACACGCGCACGATGTCTTGAATACAAAAGGCTATAAGTATATATTTATACGTGTGTGTGTACAATTAATACAACTATTTCTGCATATAAACAATTACAATACCCTACGGTTGCGCAAATATTTAGTTTTAATTACGATCAACTGATCGTTGATTAAATGGAAATCCACGTTTGCTATAATAATTTACCACAGAGCTAATTTTGAATAATTATTATTATTCTAAACGACGCAGCAAAAACGGAATGCTTTGCAAAACAAAACAAAAAAACTTCTAACGATGTCTTTTCGAAAAAAATATGTTTGAACATAAAACAAATGCTTCTCTCATTTCCTTAGTTTTGATTTTCTTGAAAGAAAACAATACATTAAAATTCATCGATTTAAATATCAAAACGCACCGATAATAAGAAAATGGTTTCAATAATAAACATAAAACTTCTGAGCTCCCATTTTATAATCACTATAGTCATTATAATTAATATTATAATTATGAAAATGTTTTTGATTTTGGTTAGTTTGTCGACGTATAATGGTAATAAAATGTCAAAGAATACTCCATACAAATTCAGAACTCATTCAATATTTTTAAAAAAGTTATAGCGCGTCGTTATTTGAAGTTAATAAATATATCAATTATTGGGGTGTTTTTCTTGATTTTGTAGGAGTAAACATTTAAAATTTTTGCTCTAACTAAGTACTTTCTGGTACGATTTATGATCTATAGAGTTGCTACATGAAGAAATCGGATTAGCGATTAACTGCAGATCAAAAATCAACCAAACCCAAAGTATATGAACCACGTAAATTTCTACATATCTTATACATATCGTAACACATCGATGGTTGTTAAGCAAATACTACTACAAATTATTTTAATTTAGCATGGAAATGTTAAATGAAAATTACTTTTTTAATGAAATGTGGTTTATTTTGTCAAACGTTTAAATTAAAAAATAAATTTCTAAATACACAGCTTATACAGGTAGACGGAACTTTGTTTATTTTATTGCTTGTAAGTTAAATTTAAATTAATACTAACTTACACAATATTACAATAGTACTACATAGGTTTCTTCTATTTTCGTAATGTCATTTATAAAGCAATCGTTTTTTATGTAAAGTAATATATTATTTTTGTCTAAATGACCATCGATTTTAATTAAACTTAGATAGGTATTTTAAAAAATGTCAGATATCAGATATGTCTGATAATGTCAGATAAGTTATGTCAGATATCAATTGACTTATTATTATTTAACTACACCGCATACGTTAACTTCAAATAAAAAATGTATGTCAATCTAGTTGAGCTTCACTTACTTGGATGAGGCTTTTACAATTAACCTTGTTTTCAATTTTCCATAATTGCCGTTATCATACAGTCTGCGGGGAGACATTAGAAAATGTAAAACATGTATGTTAGAAAATATGAATTGGTTTTTTTTTATTTGGAGTGGAAATTGTGCGCAACGTAAGTAGTCCATTAATTGAGTACAATTACATATTTTCATATAAAAAAAATAATGAATTGGATCAAATTTTTGACATTAATTAATATATAAATAAAATATAACGAGTTTTTGTATTACTCGTTATATGTACAATATAATTCAATATACCAAAAAATTAAAACTCATTAATATGTTAGAATAAAACCAGTTGTTTTGTCTTCAATGCGCTATGGTTAATTGTTAAAATAAATCGAATATTGGTAGATAATAATCAATGTTTAATAAACATTAAACAAACTTTTGTACATAATATATAACTATATCATATTATAATTATATATTAATATTCACATAGTAATTATATAAATAATAATAAACATATTATGTATTAGCAATAGTGTTATCTACTTCCACTTGTTTTTTTAGGATTTTCAGGTACAAAAATGTGTCTGTTCTAAAAAGCTTATAAATCAATATTATAACATTATGTATAATAGTAATCTATTTGATGATATTTTTATACAATAATATACATACATTTTTTAGCTAATAATATCGTTGATACAAAGAGTTAACAAAACAAAACGTGGATCTTGGTTTAATAAAATTGATATAAACAACTCTGGAGGAACAGTAATTGCCGTACAACAAAATCATAAAACATTAATATGTTTTATAGTACGATTTGCCCTTTTACACACTAAGCCAATTCATCATAATATACATATACACTATTTCACTATATTATAAAACGGCTAGTCTGCATAATTTACATAGTTATTTATTTTATTTATTTATACATATATTTATGAAAAATTCAGTCCGAATGGGTCAAAATGTAGAGACAAGAGAACCGGACGATCACCTAGTAGGCATTCTCTCATACACTTGTGTTTGGTCCAAAATATTCAAAATGCATTAATTTACAACAAATTATATTAAATTAATGTATTTGGCGCTTTAAAGTTTACGGTATATTGTATAATAAAATACTATAAAGGGCTATTGAAAAAAAAACTATACAATAATTTAATTTTTTGGACACATGTATTTAAATGTAGTTTTCTAAAAATAATTGTACTACATACTACGTTTATGGTTTTGCTATAACGTAATTTATTTTTTATTTTTTTGGACACAATAATATCTAAACATTAGCGCTTCACGCTTGTACTTTTTATGTACGTCTTCAACGACTTCATAAATCATTACAACATACCGATATGACGGTATAACATTTAATCGATGCATGTTAATAGTAGTATAAAATAATTACCTTTGGAACAATAGCCTTATTAGGATACATTATTTATTAGTTTATATCTATATAAATAGTAATAGCAATAGTTTTATACATCAAACAAATGTTTTAAACAATTTTTATAAGCAAATTAATGTGATAGCTGCTTTTGAGTTTTTATATTATTACGAATATAAAGAACAAAGTATTTACATAATTATCAATATTGTAAATATAAATTGAATATTTTATTATTATAAGAACACGGTTACGGTCAGGTGAAAATTTTAGTGTAGACGGGTCATAATCTAAAATAGCACCTTCTTTAGTTCTCCATACACTTGTCAATGTTTTTTTTGTGTATAATATTTTGATGTACGCATCAATATTATATTATGACCTAATCATAATTATTTATCAGCAATCTATCAACCAACCACTATAATTTCTAATCCATCCTCTGCTTACCTCTGACTTCTGACATTCATACTGGGAATAAGTACAGCTTTAAATTGGCTACTCGTGCAATGAACTAAAAACGATAGTAATTAAGATCAATTACTTTTATTTATTTATTTTATTTAAATTAACGCCAATCGGCTTTTTACAACACATTACCTTAATTCCGTTATGTACTCTAAATGCACTCACTTGTCGTTCATAAAACAAATATTTTCATTTTATAGTTAACATTTGTTACCATTTTGGCTATTAATTATGTATAACATGACGTGGACAAAAATAAACGAACATTATTTGGACAGCGCAAAGTCATTTGAGAGATAAAGTACGTTTACTGTTTGTTTTGAAAATTAAAAAATACAATTTATTCGTTTCTCCGCTGTGAGTGTTTTTCAATTTTAAACTTTAAAGAAGAAAACTCCTTAGGAATAATATAAATAAACTCTCCGGCTTTGTACGGATTAATTCCAAGTTGGGATTTCTGTTACTGAAAAGAAAAGTTAATGAGACATTATGACAACGACAATGAACTTTTGATAGGCAGAACGTCAACGCTAATAATTAATATATAAAAAAAAAATTAACTTGTCGCTTGTATGTATTGGAAAGAGTAATGAAAATGAAATGCAACTACGTTATTGAAAAAAAAACGAAATGGCTATCGGTAAAACTTCAAAAGAACTCTACTAATAGATAGAAAAAAAACTTTACCTGTACCGAAAAATGCTCTTTCGGCGTCCGAAAACTTGATGGTCTCAAACCATGGTTTGAGCTGTTTTTCTTTAAACTTAATAAGTACGGACTTTTTAAATTACATACGTAGAACAGATTGATTGCAAACGGAAGCGTTGTTCAACAGACAAATGTCCTTACTCTTCAATTTAATAAAGTACCTACCCACACTATTGTTCAGAAAATTATTTTTATTGAAGTAACACAAATAACATCGGTGATTAAGTACACAACTATTCAACCAATACATATATATATATACTGTATACATTTTAGTTATACACTATAGTGTAAATAAATATTCTATGTCCAATATAACGAGGGAAACTTATTTGTTTATTATACAAATAGATATATTTAAAGAAAATTTATGAGTTATTACTTAACAGTTATGTCTATATCAATTAAAACACACATAAACTATAAATTTAACTATACATATTATTGCTTGTTTATTGCACTGCTTGTATACCATTTACAATTCGTAGTAAGCACAAAGCATACACATACAAGTTTGACATCATGGCTGGTTTAGATTTAGTCAACACTCGACTATTATCGTCTAGCCAAACACCCAAAACTAAGCCATATAGTTTGCAACAGACGTCACTTCGATGACCGCCAATAATTTATACATATGAATATTATGATTATTGAATATTGCGTTTTACATAAATAGTTCTTTAATGTGTTAAGATGATAATTATTTTTATAACTTTGCCTAGATTAAAATGTAGATATTATTATTAGTAGTGACACGCCGTTACTAGATTCAGATATCTCTGAAAAAAGTTACAAAACGATAATCGTGTATGTATAATGCCAGGACGGAATACACATACTCGTAACTAAGTTGCAATGGTTTTGAAGCGTTTCTCGCAGTTTTTCTTTGAAAATATTATACATGTCACGCTCGTGTGGTTCATCAAAAGAAAACGTATACATAGACATAGACAAATATAATATTGTTAATGTGTTGCAAAATGTACAAACGTATCCACTAATATTGCGACTATAGACCTCGCCCGGACAACATTTGCTGTGAATCTCTAGGGTTAACCCGCGGCCCAATATCGATCGGCGGTCACCGTTACCAGCATGTCGATCGAGTGGAAATACTTGAATACACATTGTGACTGTACATGGCTTAAGTTTGTTGATTTATTACAAAAATAGGATTACGCACAACGTACCGTAACCCCGACTAAATCTACGCGTGCAACGCGTCTAGTCGTTAGAAAAGCGGTTATTAACGTTAAAAATTAAAAAAAAAAAAGTTAAAAAATCCTAAACGATAATAGTTAATAATTACACAATTTTCATTTGGAGGACTTAGACGGTGGTAGGTAATAATATCAAAACAATAATTATATATATATAAATATATATATACAAATGAGGGTGGGGGATATTATTGTTGTTATTCTTCATGTTTAAGCTGTTGTTTTTTTACACACATTTTTTTTAGAACACAAAAAAACCAACCAGACTCTGAGGTAATCTGGGAACGGGACAGGACATACACAAACGGTTTGGACTAGACTGGAGGCCGAGGCCGGGCGACCGCAGATCATAAGCTGCTGCCAAACTGACTTGATCGGCGCCTATCGCAGTGGTTCAAGTAAGTCTCAGAGTACACACTGCGCGTGCGGTCGTCGTACCGGAGGGACGGCCGGCGAGCATCCAGCGCCTCCAGGTCGGACGGCGGGCTCCGGCATAGGTTGCAAAACGCGCACTGCAACGTGTTCTTGAACGCTTCCCTGAAGTCCCGGTTGAAGTACGCGTAGATCAGAGGGTTCAGCGTCGAGTTGAAGTAGCCGATCCAGAAGAGCACGGCCACCACCGACGACGATATGTTGCACCTTTCGCCGCACAACGTTGTTATCACATACCTGCGCAAAAACAAAAATTGTACTTGGTTTTTTTTTTTAAAAAACACAATAACACTATATCAGGCACCTAAAAAAAACCTAGCTACGCTAATGGAATACAAATGAACGATGAAAGCAAATAAAATACATAGTGAATATCATCGATCCGTATTATTCCGTTTTATCAACATCATTCTAATAATATTATAATATGTACATTTAATATGATCATATAACTATCGCTTTTGAACCGACGACCCTATTATTGTACCATTCCATAAAATAATATTACAATATTCCTATATTTCTGTTGTTTAGTATAATCAACAAAAATGGTATACCTACCTAAATCATTTTCTGATGTCTCCGAAAGCTAAATAAAATGTTGCTATGCTTTTCAAATACCATTTTACTTGAGTTTTTTTTTAACTTTGTATTTATATTATGTAGTCGAAAGTATAAATTGTATGATTTTAATTTTTTATTTATGATTATAGTTTTAAAATAATGACGAAGGAAAATTTCTATTTTAATTAAGCTAAACCTTTTGAAAACCTTTTAAATTTTGTAAAACCCTTTCATAAAATTATCTTGTATACCTATAATAAATTCTACTAAATATGCATATTTAAAGATAGGGCAATATCCCATTTTGGCCATCAAGTTTATTGCGTTTGAATGATTGGAATAAATTTGATTCGATAAACTTGTATTATAATATGATGACATACTTTTTAAGTACTGTTACTGAATGGGGCGAATAAACATTTATACGATGCGTTTTAAACGATTAGCAACTAATTAATTAAAACAACTCCCTTACTAAATAGATGAAATTTGCAATTAAATTAAATGTCATTTAATTATTTTAAAAATCATACTTCATTTGTATTCTAAAACAGAATATAAATAATTACTGTTGATTTCAATGATGGAACATCGTAAATGAATATTTGATTAATCCAAAACTATTTATGTTCATAAATTGATAATAAATAAAAGTAATGACTGTAATTAATAAAAGTAGAATGAAATAAAAAAATATGCTTGGTCATTTATTATTGCAAAATCTGGTTAAACGCAAAACTTTTTTCCTTTTAATAAATATCTTGTTTATAATAATAATTATTTTGATCATTAGGTTGTTTTTGTGATCATTTTTAAACGAAATCAGTGTTTTTATTTTATAAATGACATTTTAGATGCTTGAGCGTAGAAAAAATGCAATTGAACACATTGATATTTGAAGATGAAATGCAACAGCTACCTTACTATTATTATTAACCGTAGACCGTAGTAACAATATTTTAGCAATCGCATATCGCTTTACTTATTATAATACAAATGTACTAATAATTTTGTTTACATTATTCGCCTGACTACATGACGTTTTGTGGTTATGTGTTGAAACGGAAATAATTATTTAACATTAGCAAATGGAATAATCCTTTTGAATAATAATGCTTACTGTTGCACATATAATGCGGCAAGGTGATCTGGAAGTGAATGTCATTTATAATATCATTTAACTACTGATGAGTCATGGTATTACTGTGAACGACAAATGTATTTAATTACTGTAGCTTAGGTCATTGTGTTTCGTAAACAGAGTACACGGTTACTGACATCCAACCAATAACTCATGATTACGATTACATTTAAATGAAAACAACTAATCGAATTGTCCCATATACGGTACATAATATTATAATTATTTTGAAAAGACAATAAGTCATATAAATTCGGATTCAAAATATTCCTACATTATTTTTTTAAAAGGCGGAAGCGAGAAGATCGATTAAAAAACCAACGTTCAAACATTATATAATTATATAAATGAAAATAACTATTTTCGAATATCAATGGTTATATTAAATTTATATAGTTTTTCAGCCAAGGATGCAACCACGAAAGAGCATTTTCATGTCTCGTTGAAGTACAGAATAAATTTAGATTATAGATAATGATATAGTATATTAAGAAGCAGAAACAAGCTAGTATATTTAAACATCAAGTTAAAACATTTAGCTAATATTGTAGTGTTTAATATCTGGCTTAAAACAATTCATAGAGAATTTGGACCCTTAAACTATTTTGAATTTATCATTTAGTTCTAATTTGAACGTACAACATGTCACTTATCTCCTACCCCCATTTCTCACCCCTAACTCTATCCCCAACTTCATTCCCATCCCAACCCCATCTTCATCCCTACCCCATCCCCATTCCCATCTCCACCCCCATCACAATGTGGTAACGCTTATTTCGTTACGCTTTTTTGGTAGCACTAAGTAAATAACACTTTTTTCGGTTATGTGCCAGAGCTAAGACATGAAAATGTCAACAAAAAAAATATTCACCTTATCCCTCAAAACTCACAAGTAGGTTCGGCCACTCTATTTTTTGTTTTACTTTTTGTTCTTTATTGTATCCTAATCTATTATTTACATTTTTATTTCTCCTCAACTTTATTGCCATTTCATACCTGGTTTAACACCTATCGGTCATCGTCTACTTTTTTTTTTTTTTTTTAAATACATACCTTATTTAATAAAAATAATAAAAACGATTTTCTTTTGAATTTCCAGCTATTGGTTGTATCAATCTACCTGTTATTTACTTCTAGTTTTTTTTAAGTAAATGACATTCCAGCTGATTAAACGATTTAATTTGAGATTATTCTATACAGAACAATAGGAAATGTATTTATATGTTTCAAATATTACTATTAACGGTTATAACATATATTTATAATATTTTATAATTGTATGTATACCCATGTTGTCAAGAAGTACTTAGTTCTGTTTGTAGTTTCTGGTTTGCATTTTATGTGACTCACGCTATATAAAATATTATTACAATAAGCCGCTACACAATTGAATAGGTCATTTCAAAAACAACATAAGTCACCGATTTTTCAAAAATGACTTTTTTTCAAATTTGATAATTTTATACATACTTAGTTATGTATTATGTGTGAAAGCTAAATTTTCCAGACTCATATTTAATACAAATGTTGAGAACAAGAAATTAGGATCACTGAAAAAACTAGTTATGAGGTTTTTTGTGGCTAGTGTAAAATTTCAATTTTGTGACTAATAAATTTTTGAAATGACCGATTCAATTGCATTAACAATTTCGTATTTTTTTATCAAGTGAATATCATCATTTATTTCTTTTTTTATAATGAATATTTTTATATAAAAGATTTTTTTACTGAACAAAAAAAAAAGTTAAAAAATTTAACTTTTGATATAAAATTGACCCGAACCACATCTAGGAACGGGTTTAAAAATCTAAAAAAATATCAAAAATTATTTCTTCATCCAAATAATATATTCTCAAGAGAAGAACAAAAAATAATGAATTCATTTTTTTTTAACCACCCTGATGTACATAGCTCTTTTTTTGTATTGTTTATAAAAGATTAAAAAATTAATAATTATATATTAAATATAGGCTCTGGGGGGATCTATTGCCCTCACCCCCCCCCCTTAATTACACCCCTGATGGCATTGTTATTTCTATTGTTAATAGCAGTTATCTATGGACACTAAGACACACTGACAAGAGGTTAGCGGTAAGTACTGATGCAATCAATATCGAACATTAACCTTTTAAACGCTCATATAAGTTGCTGTCCGCTAAAAACTGCTTATAAACTTTTAAAAGCGAATGCTTAAAGTTAGTAGATTGCTAATTAATTGACTTTTGGTGTAGACTTTAACGTACCTTCTTTGCTAGTTGGATAGACTAGGAAAAAGCGGCCATCGATAGGTTAAGACCTAGCGGATCTAGACGAAACGGATAGCTAGCCCGTCATCTACACTAAGTAATCTTAATTTAGGATTTCTAAAATCCCTCTTACTAAAGAACTTCTACAATAGCAATTTTTTTAAGGCGCATTGTATATGTAATTTTTCATTAAACCTTAATATTAAGCCAAAATGTGTACTCTTATAATATAATACAGAAAAGTGGTATCTATTTGGATGTTTTATTTTTTTCCAATTTTTTAACGCATTCGAGCTTATTTTTTTTAAAACCTAAGTTTATAAAAATCATTTAAATGCTTCATAACTAAAGTCCGGATTTATATGTTTTTACATATTGTTACTGAGTATATGCAGTCTTATGAGGGTAAAAAATATGAACGATTCATTCATCACAGAGTTCACAGGAAAAAGTTTTTTTTGCATATTTGAGAATATTTCATGGTTTAGGGAATATTTAGGTTATTTAGCATATTTTGGAATATTTTGCAAATTGTGAGAAAAACATAATAATTTATTTTTATTTTAAAATTATTATAATTAATATTTTCATAAAAAAATACACACAGTGATAGTACTATTAAGTCGCCGCGTCGTGCCGTGCTGTTTACCAAATATGGTGGCTAACCTGCAATACTGCATCGTTTTCATGCTGATAAGAACAACAAAAATTTACAAAATGACCAATAACCTGGTGAAAAGGGTAACATTATAAAAACCAAAGTGACTCAATTATGTGAAAAAAATAAAGGCTACCAAATGTTAGAAAAAGTTGGAAACATTTTATCTGGAAACAATGAAAATCTCCCAGAACACTTCACCCCTAGTGTAGTTGCTGATATGAAGTTTGCTCCTTTAACATCAGTTGATGTTGAACGTTCATTTAGCCTCTACAAACACATTTTAAGCGATAGAAGAACTAACATAAACCCAGAGAATATCGAGAAATACATAATTATTAACTCATATAATAAAATTTAAATAAGTAGTAAGTAATTTAAATTGTACTTCAATTTAATTCAAGTCAGAATTAAATTTAGAAGAATATTTAGTAAATATTAATTTACTACCATAATCATCATACCATGGAAATATATATATCATACCAGGAATATTGTTTTTTTTTTTTTTTTAATATATATTGTTATTTTATATTCAATAAAGGAAATATTGATTTTAATTCATTATTTTTGTTTATTTTTCTAATTTTTAAGAGAATATATGGAGAATATTTGTAGGTTTTTTAGAGAATATTAGAATCATATTTTAGGTGTTTTAAGAGAATATTTATCCGGACCTTATTCATAACATTTACGAGGTACGATCGTGACACAATTTTTAAATTAATTTTAGTTAATTAATCATTTCTATGTGAATAATTGCAACTTTTATAGTTTTTTAATAATTTTTACAATAACATTAAAAACTAAAATTGAAAATTTATTTTTATTCGGTTTTCCGATTTTTGCGAAATAATATGTTATAAACTTATTCTAACATATTATAAACCTATTTTAAGAGTTTATAGCACTTTCCAGAATGTTCTATCATCGTGCAATAAACTTAGACCTATTGATAAAACATTTGTTTTTCTTTGATAATGTAAAGTTTACGGTATATTTCTTAGCGCGTTATTTGGACAGAACCTTCAAATGTAAAACAAGCCAGTTGGACAAATTAAAAATACAGAATGTATGGAGCATACAAGAAGTCGGTCACGGTAGATGTTAAGATTTAATTAGTGCTACTGTTTCTACCTACTGTCTTATGCCTCGGGCTTGTGTATATAAAAATGAATTCGGTTAGGTCATGTAAAAAATAAAAATGATACACAAAAATTCTAAAAATAAAAGTTTGTGTTATCTATGTTTGTCTTCGAAATGATATATTTCTGAATGTATTCTTTACAATGCTAAACTGTTCTCAACACAAATATGCTAAATGAAAAGCCAAAAATTACAACGGAGGATCTCAGTATCCACCTTAACATTTTTAATCTGACTCAAATATATTATACTCCGTTAATAAAAGGGGAGCGCATAATTCCATTAGCTCAAAGACAATAGTTTTTTTTTTAAGATAGAGATTACTGGAAGATTATAAAAATGTGATGCGATTTAAAACGTAATAAAATAAGACTGTTACGGTTTTCAATTTTCAGAATACAGATAATTTAATTATACAACGAATGATTTTTCTGATTAACTGAAATAAACTTGAAGATAAATAAAGCTTGAAAATCCGGTTCTTATCTCATTACCAGCTTCCATTTCTTAAGAATCAGGGTTGTTTATTTAGATACATTTACTGTCGAATTCAATTTATACTAGTCAAATCTAAATTAAACCACTTAACGAGTAATATTTGTATATTATACACATGTCATAATTTAACTATTACACTGTGAAATCTTAATCAGTTTAAAAAAATTCACATTTTTTTATTGTGTTACACATTTTCGACAACGTTTGTTGTATAACAGTTTTAAGCTATGTAATTTTATATTCATTAGCAAATACAAAAATGTTTTTAAATTCAGTTTTCTTTTAGTATTTTTAATAAGAAAGCCAAAAAAAGAACTGATGGTGTATGCAAAGATGTCGTGGAGATTGTATCGAGTGGAGGTTTAAAACAAAGGTGGACAGAAGATTTAAAAATCGAAGCCATAAGACTGTTTTATACTAAACCATTTTTTAGTATAATTTTATGGCATGCATTAAATTATTATTAATAAACAAATTGCATATATGTATGTACACTATTCTAGCACTATTCTAACGCAATACTTTAAAATACTTAAGTTATAACTTCTATAACAATTTAAAAATTTTAAATTGTTAATTTATAAAAGAAAATGCTTGGCTTATTCGTGGCTTTATTACGATCAACTAAAACTTTAGGAACAGTTGAAATCTATTATCAAACGCTTGCTCAAATAATATAGAATAAAAAAACTACAAAAAAACGGCAATATTTAATGTAGGGTAAACAATAAGATTTCTAAGGATTTAGTGTAATCTTAAAACCAACTAAACTTATAAAAATAATTGGCTACAAACAAAATTTGCATAACGCTCGTTGGGAATTTCAATTACACCAAATAAATCTTGTTTTCGAAATTATTCAACAGATGCGATTTTGAACATTAAGCCGCGGTTTGTTTAATTTGCAGTTGTTTGTATTTCGTCTACATACAATTAGATTAAACGAGTTTTAGGATTTTATTAACAGATAATAGTACGACGTGGCATAATATTAGTATTCTGTACGATCGAAATCAATTACTTTATCCTATATTATTATTTTTTAAGTATAAAATAAATTTACCATAGGAAAAAGGGCAGCCAGCAAACGATGAACGTGCCCATGATAATGCCCAGCGTTCTGGCCGCTTTGTGTTCCCGCTTCATCTTTATGATGTTCCTGTTGTCCCTGGACGGGGTGGAATGGGGTTCGGTTGGGGCCGCCAAAGTGGTTCTGGACGATGATCCGTTTACGGCTCCGTTTGGCCGCAACTCGTTCTCCCGGTCTGCCATCTCCCGGTTATAGTTCATCTGGTGGCCACAGCTGATTCTAGCATGGATCTGCTTCTCCTGCCTGTTGGCCTCCTTGAATATCGCGTGGTACGTAAACAGCATTATCGTGCACGGTATCCAAAACGATATCGACGACGACACGATAGCATACATCTTGTTCACCTGAAAAATATAATGTATTTTTGAAAAGATCTGAAATCGTAGGTAGAAATCTTGCGCACAACCAAACCCCAACAATTTTTGTACTCGGCAATCCAATTTTATACATAATATATCCTCAATTGACGGCACCGAAAATTGTACCTATTTAAGAAAAATAATGCTAATGGCTTGTTTGTCAAAGCAGGCTCGTCGATAGTCTTCGTAAAACCGTCAGTTCGAGCTAAGGAGCAAGGCAAATGGCTGGAAAACGCTGCCGGTAGTAGGATCGCAACACCGAGACATAGTTTTTGACCGCGCGTTATCCTTTTAGGTATCTATTCGTGCCGGCGTTTGTTACCAGACGATAAATTACACGTTTTACTCAATTTACTCGACACCACGATCTAGTGTAGAACAGGGAAAATAATAATAATTATAATCGTTGTTGCCGTACAACTGTAAGCCAGCGCCGTAACGTGTTCAATTACTCCGACGCCTTCCGTTTGATAAATACGCGAATTAACGTCGGAATAAATGTTCATCTATCGCGATTTATCTTCCCAACACAAAAGTTCCGATCCCCACAGCGACTTTATTTATTGCCTTGTCCGGCGGACGTTTAACGGTTTGCAAAAGTATCCGAAGAATTGTTGTATAATCCTGTAACTCGGCATTTACCCATCGGAATTACTAACGTTTTACAACTGCTGTTGCTCCTGTTACAGAAAAAGATACATGTTATTCAGAAAACATACACGATTCGGTCGAACCAGACATTGTTATCGCGCTCAAGCATTCCATAAATTGTATCGTTTCGCCAGGCAACCGTGTTCACCACCTAAACCACCAATACGGACTCTGTTCGAAACTGCGGTCCTCTAACTCGGTAACGTTACAAGCTTACATGACATGCTGGCTTCGATTCGTACACGCCTCGTACATTTAATTCCGAATGCAACACATTACTATGCGCAATAATATGCGAATTCACAGAGTTGAACGTTTGGTTAAACTACATTGTGGCGTATCGATTGCCAGTGTCGGCAGAGTAATAAACCGTTTGAAGGGAATTAACTAACACGCGGAAGAGGAGAGCGGTATAGGCTATATGTACAAGGATGTACACGGTGGATAAGAGACATTTGCGGACACTGTATACCGACTTCGGGTTACTACGAATGTTTCATTGATTCCAATCGCTCGACAAACAGTATGGAGTACTCGAGTTCAACATGGTGTTTGTAACCGTAGTCGCCGAGTACACTTCAAAAAAGAGAAAAATGCTGAAATAATAATATTGTTGAAAATGTGACTTAAGTGAACCAAAAAACTATTTCTAAAACATTCAGTCGTTGTCACCTATATTCATAGAATATAGTACGTATTGATACGTTTAGTATTTATACGTATTATGAATTATAATATGAGCTACCAAGTGTGAAATTTAAATATTTTTTAAAATTCATGTGAGCACTAAATAATTGTATGGATACGTTCTCATATGTAAATAAAATGAATATACGACTTATTTAAATAGTCTATACAAACGATATTTTTAAAGTATTAAAATGATAAAATATAATTAGGCGATAAATACAGATAATATTTTATGATGAAGTATAAAACATTTTAGAAAATTATTCAAACGTACAGAACTCATTGAAAATATTACCAAACGACATTTTTTGATAGCTTTAGAGGCGATTAAAAAAATTAACTAAACGTGCTGGGACATTAATTCTGAGGCCAGATTGGGATTCAGTAAAAAAAACATTAATGTGTATTGGTTCTTGTTACAAATTTATATTGTAATGTGTTATTAACTAGTACCGAATATGGTACTCAAAGTGTTAAATACTAATTAAATTTCTACTGTAATAATACAAGTTAACCATAACAGTTTATTGTTTAATTACCTATTTGTTTAATTAACTAAACAACATTTATGTTCTTATACTAGTCACTAGGTGATAATTACAATGTAATGAAAATATATTTTGTGGGTTTGTTATAGAATTAGCTATAGATTGGTCATGTACCAAACAACTTACAAATAATAATACCGAGTACAAATAACATATATACCAGTCATTAACAAAAGAAAGAAGAACACGGTGTAATTTGATTTAATTATGTTTTCATTAAAATTTTCAACTCACGTGTAAATCAAATATCGAAACTCTAATTGATCATTGTTAAATTTATTAAATAAACGTGCACTGGCAACGCGCTTTACATAACAATCATTTATACGATTGTCTAATTGTGAAAGCGTTTTACTATTGAGTTTAATATTGTGCAATAAAAAAGTCTAAAAATAATTTCATTGTGTACTAGTGGATAATGAATATTATGAGTTCTATAAAATTAAAAAAATAATACCAAAATTACTATATTACGCGTTAGCTGGCTGGATTATAGCAAAGATAGAGAAGGCTATATTGGATGATTTCTCAAAATAACTTAATACAAATTATACTACAAAATTGTTTTTTACACAAACGAACAAAAACTGAAATTGGCACAAGATTAATGTAACTCAAATGCGTAATTTTTTTTTTTTTTTTAATGGTATATTTGGGTAATCTTAAATAAAATAATAAAATGTCCACGATTATTTAAATTACATTATAATTTATAACGCGAGAAAAGTCTTTAAGTTGATCAACTCTGAACATTTCATTAGCACAACAATACATTAATAGGTAACAGATATTTCAGCTGTTCTAGAATTAAATATAGTAGTTTTAATAACAAAATTGTTGGTCAGTATTTAAAATTATTTTAAAATTCAATTAGATACTTTGTAAAAATAATACTCTAAGAAGTGCATTTTCACGAAGTTTGTTTAAATTTATCAGCTTATTTAAAATGACCTCATTAAAAGTCTAAAAAAATTAAAACAACTTTTCAGATCTTCACAATATACTATTAGGTACGGCTGTTTTTTCTCTGGCGTTACACAACTCAAGTTATTTTGGTTTGTGTAAAAATAAAACAAACGAATCCTTAAATTGTACAACAATAAATACTAACAATTTCTCATGTATTGAAGTCCGTGTTGTATATTGTCACTTGTCACCCGATAAATTATTCCACAGCCCAATAAATTATACTAAGTTATACCAACAACAAAGATTAGCAAAGACTTTTGCAATTCATAAATTCCTCGTAGAAATGTACATCTCTCACCAACGCAATTTTACGATTGACTTTTTCATCGACTTAGGTCATTATTTTAAGGTTGTGCAAATTATGATGAATTTAACTGAATAAAGTGTTCAATTCGGAAAAATGAACTAAATAATTGATTGTTTAAATAACTCGAATAATGCGAATAACTCGTTGATTCGGCGGATGAATAATGATTATTGAATAATTTGCGAGTACATAACAAATCGTAAATAGAGTAATTATATTATCTGGTAGTCATTATTTGTTATTTATTCTATGAGCCACTCAATGATTAAAATGGACGAGCCTGTGTTGACTTTAGAAGGTAAAATTTTAATTTTAATTTACTATTTGTATTGAAAAATATTATTTAGGCCTTGAATTATTATTAGCTTACACGTTTTAATTTTAAATGAGGCAGCAGATATTTTTAGAGTACTTTAGAGGTTCAATTTTTTAATTTGTTTATATAATCCTTAAACATATCGTTAAACTTTTACTTTTTCCCTAGAAAATAAAATTTACATATACGAAAAAGTTCAATTATAATGCAAGATCGTTTTTATTTGACTGCTCAGCATTAAAAAAACTATTCAACTCTATATTTTACTATCTTACTGGGAAAATAAAAAAATGAAATATCCAAATTTGTTAAGATTTGGCTGTACCTACATAATTCCCCTGCAACTCAAGAATCTGTAGAAAGGGCATTTTCATCTTTAAAATATGTTTTAAATGATCATAGATACAACCTTGGCAATGAAACCCTTGAAAATATTGTGTTAGTTAAATTAAATTAATTTTCTTTGTTAGGTAGTAAGATTATATTAAAATGTTTTGTTAGTAAATTTAACTTAAATTTATAAGTCTCGTAAAGGTTAGCGAATTCGTCCAAAACCCATCTCATCATGATCGCAGAATTTTTTATTAACAAAAATTTGGTTGTTTTTTCATAAAATTGTCTGGGTTAAAAAAATTTAACTGTCACTTATACTATGATATTTTGATTTTACTTATATTAAATTGATATAATAATATCATCATTTGAAATTTAAATTTTAAAAATATTTTAAAATTGTTTTATGTTAAATGCATAGTATAGTAAAATTATTATTAAGTTGTATGTTACATTGAATGGATTAGAAGAGACCGTTGGGAAAGCCTCTCAAAAATATGGATAGATGGTTTTAAATAATACCTCCAGTTCCTAGTTAGTGACTGTGACTAAGGCAAGAAATAAATGTCAGACACAACTTATTTTAAGTGTGACCGAAAATCAGGCGACTGACGGAAGGATAAAGAAGATACACGACGTTATTAAGGAGAAAGTTCCAAGTATACTTACCACCCAGTCACAGTCGTCCGGATGCGCTCTGCGGAAGGCTAGATACTCGTCCGTGGTATACCATCCGAAGAAAATCGGCACGAACGCTATGACGCCGGGGGCCAGCCACGTGATGAGCAATAGAAATGCAACTAGCTGCTTAGTTACCAACACAGGGTACTTGAGTGGCTTGACGATGGCATAGTACCGGTCCACGCTGATGCAACACAGGTGCAATATGGACGCGGTCGAGAAGTAGACGTCACTGGAGTTCCATACGTCACACATGAAGTAGCCGAACATCCATTTGCCACTTATCTGCTTGCTGGCGTTGAACGTCATGGCCACAATTGCAACGAGCATGTCAGCAAAAGCCAGAGAAACGACAAAATAGTTGGTGATTACCCTGAGACGAGGGTGCCTGGCCACAGACACAATTACCAATAGGTTTCCTCCAATCGAGGTCAGTATGATGATGGCCATTATTGACGTTTTTAACGCCACCGTCACGTAGTCAGACCAGTCCATATCACCGGCCACCTAAAACATAATAAACGTGACAACTCAAATATAATTCATATCATGGGAATAATTGTTTGTTTAAATTTAATTTGAGACGTTTTGATTTATTACATTAATTTTCACCTTTATTATAATAATCCATTATATTTGGGCAGCAATCCAAAACTAGAATTTAGGGGTAAGGCGTACATTTTTTTTTTTAAGGAAAACTTTTCATGTTTGGAAATATGCAATTATCTACTCTTGGCTTTTGCGGTAACATATATACCACGCTTTATATTTGATAAATAGTGTGAGTAAAGCTCAATCGTAATCGTTTAGCTAAAAGTAAATACAAGTGGATAGACGTTGGTCCAAACACCAAAGATAAAATTGATTTTTCGTTTTTAATTAATTTCTTTAACAATTCAGTCTTATAAGAAAGTAAAACAAAATTGAAACCTAGTTTGTATTTCTTTATTTTTTCATAACTTTTCAACTTGGATGTAAGGAATATTATTATTGAAAAGTTTTCTCGCAATATCTATATTTTGTCATTTTTGTCTACTAAACTAAATTTGTGTTCTTCTAACAAATAAAATGTATCTTTAACTTGTATAATAACAGTTTGTTAAAAAATAAAGAGCAGCTATTTATATTATATTGAACTACAATAATACAAATTTATTTTTGATAAAAAATGGTTATTAAAATAAATAAAAACATAGAATTCGTGAGAGACGTTTAAGCATTAAGCCCATATTTTGTATTAAAATAATAATTATAATTTAACGATTTTACAATAGTTAATAAAATCAAATGTAATCTTATTGCAATTTGTATTGCATAATTTTAGATATTTTCATACATAGTGCATTGATTAATCTGGTTTAGCTCTAGTAAAATTAATAGTTGTATCGAGCACATTTATATAGAATGGAGAATAAATCTCGAAAAGAGTACCTTTGTCTAATACTCATGAAAGGTTAAAAAAATATTTTTTCGAATAGTGTTCTTGTTATTCGAAAATTTAGAAAAGGGATTTAAGTAATTATTGTAATTGTAATTGTACGTAGAAAAAAAAACAAACATATAAATAAAACAATCAATTTATTTAACATCAATTGCAAGTATGAAAAATATTTGATATTACAATATAAACATTTACATTTATTTTCCTAAGGAGTTTAAGAAGAACCCATTCAAATATCAATAGCTACTCAAACAGTTTAATTTCCGATTTAAAAACATAACATAAAAGATCAAAGAATTTGAGAATTGCTATCAAGTGTACTCACAACTTTATAACGTTTATTTTAAATTTACTATGGCTTATATTACTTTCGTGTGAATCTGACTCGGCACCGTTGACTTGTCAGATATAAGTATATTATATTGATTACTTGTAAGCACTAATGAAATGTAGTCAATATAAAGAAAAGACATGTTCTTTTTAAATTAAAAAAAGTTTTGTCGATAAGAATAAAATTCAACTATTAATTGTGTAGCCAAAAAGAATGGATCTAAGTTACTGGGTAATATGTATTTCTTCTTTACCGAAATATAATAAACATTTTCCGTAAATATATATTACATCTGTCCGGAAGTTCAATATAATTCTTCGTTATTTTTTTCGTTATTTTTTTCGCTATTTTTTTTTAATATTATATTCTTTTAAAAATAAAGATTATTTCCATGGAAAAAAGCAATAATAAAGACATTGGAATTTATATAAAAACGTATTTGTATAGTTTGATGTACAATGGAAAATTTAATCACGAAATGAATGATAGGAAATAAAAAATGTCTTCAGAAATGTGCTAAAATATACATATAATTAAAATTTCTTAAATACCTTGTATTTCTCTACTTGTGACCTTTTATGAAATATGGTCAATAAACACGCTAAATACTTTGGATATTAAATTAGATGGAGGGCCAAAGCTATAATAGTAAAACAGTTTTTCCCAGTATTAATAATTAAAAAAAAATAATATCGACACTTTTCACAATAATATTTATGCGTTCAGCGTTGAGAACTCTGAACAATAAAACAAAGTTTTTAAATGGGGTCTAGTCTATGGGGTGGATTGACATTAGAGAGTTTGCGAGGGTTTGTTTCGTAGGGTTTTGGACGAGTTTAAATAATATCTCTTTATAAAAACTTAACATGTTTACGTCAAACTCTCATGGGCTCAATAATATCAAATATTTCATGAGTCTCGGGAGAATACCAAAGAAGCTATTTTAAACATGTACCTAAAAGTATCCTGTGTCAGTACTAAACGAATTTCGTTCAAATATTGTAAAAGTCGAGTAAGAAGTTGAAATGTTCAAAAACAACTAAAATAGTAAAATATTTAATGCTTCAATATTATTATTTTTAAAAAATAAACAGACTTCAAAAAATATCTTACTCAAACGTAGAAGTATAATAAAATTAGAACCTATTCGAAGCGTTTATAGTTAATTTTATATAAAAATAATAGTGTATGTTTGTCCTTTTCTACGCATAATACATTTTTTAACGTATAAGATAAAATTGGCACTAGTCAATATGTCTAGCTTTATTTTCATCAAGCCAATATTATTGGATTTCAAAAATGTTCAAATTTGAATCTATTTTATTAGCTTTATGCTTTTTTAATTAAGAGCTCGTCAATTACTATCACTGCCTAATATTCCTATTCACTCCCTTTACTTATGATTATATTTCAAAATTACTATTTTGCACAAAAAAAAATATAGTTGGGTAAACTTATTTATTTAGTTATTCCAACTAGAAATGTAGTGTGTCCTTTTATTAATCATAATTTTAGTTGGGTCAACTATGAATTTTTTTCCGTGTAAGTAGGTTTATAAATAATACACTATGTCTTTTTTTTTGGTTCTAAGCAATAAACATCACATGTATTCTGTAGGGTTTTAGTTTTTTTATTTGTTATTCGGTATTCTAGAACTTTGAAAAACATGATCAATATTTGCGTAAGATCAAGAGTGTTCCCCTTAGGCTATAATACCCTATTAGGGAAATTGTTAATCTTATTCGTACATCGTTCGAAAGTACAATATCAAAATTTGTTACTTATTTTTAGTTATTATCCTTTTAATATAATCATATTCCTTAAAAAGTAATATTATTTCCATGAAAAACAGTAATAACAATGGTATTGGAATGTATTATATAAAAATGTAAAATACAGACTATGATGAAATCGCTGATGATGGCCAATTAAAATGTGCCCCATAACAATAATATTAGGCTCGTGAAAGTAAAGATAAAATAGGGTAAATTACACTTGAGCACAAGTGAAAAATTGCATCTAAGGAACATAGTCGCAATAAATTATATCACATATTTTAATTCTACTAGTTTTTTCATTAAGACAATCATAAGATTGTAGAGGGGTAGGATGTCACTTAAAGTTCGAAGTTGATGCATTAGTTTAAGGTAAGAAGAGTGGGTATAAAATCTTAATAAGTCTTACGTCAATTTAAGCGTTATATTTTTTTAACAAGTTTAATAAATTTAATTGAGATTGCAAGCGTTACATTTCATTTCTTGAGATAATAGACGGCTCATCTCACGTGCATAACCCAATATGGCTGTATAATATACAGTGTATTTATTTTATTTTTTAGCACTATTGGTAGTTGAATCAGTAATTTGAGAAAAAAAGTAAGTAGCGGACGCGCTATAGTGCTTGCAAGGGGCTTCTTAATTATTCAAAGTTGAATATGTGACTTAGTAGAGAATGCGAGTATGCGGTCTATGGTTTGTGTATTGTGTTGATGATGTGGGTACCTACCTGTTGGACGGTGGGATCGGTACCGTTGTCCATGGCGCTTAGCCGGAACTATGTTTGCCGGTGGTCCTGCAAAACGTTAGCCGTCGAGCTGTGATTGTACACGCGGTGATCTCCGTTGTCCATGTGGTCGTCGTTGTCACCATACCGGCCCTTTGCAATCGACAGTTGAAGCTAATAATCAGGGTTTAGGTGCACAGCCAGACCGCAACAGCTGGATCACGTATCAACGTTGACAGCGTTGGCTACACGGCGATTGTCAGTTCTATGCATTTCCCTCGTACGGCCGTCGTTATCCTGTAATAATAAATTAAAAATTAAAAAACAAATATTACAGGGGGCAACAAAACTGGAAATTGGGGTTTCTTTTGGTAGTGACAAAATGAGCAGTTAAATGGCGTGCGAATTACACGGTAAAACTCTATGCGTACCCTCAAAACTTGTGTAATACCAATAATGAAAATGATACAATATAATAATAACAATATTATTATTATAGTGCATTAGTAGAGCCGCGGTTCCCTCAGCCCAGCGTCGAGTTCTTGATAGTCAGTTTAACAGAGAGCACGTGCTTCGGACCTGCCGGTCTCTCGCCAAACGCGGCTCCGGGCAGCAAACGACACCGCAGGCGCTGCCGGTAGTGGCCCGGTATTTATAACGACCCGGAGGCCCGTAAATCAAGCTCGCCCGCGGCCGCTTATATATTATTATTATTATTATTATTATATATAAATTATAATTAAACCAACGGAGGGCGGGTCGACTGCGACTGTGGTCGTCGCCAAACCGTTTATTTTTAGCAATCCGATAATAATTGTATTATATGTATTTTTATGACAATAACACCCAAAACGCATATAATATACGCAGAGCTCGGCGGTCTGAGCGCCCGTCCGAGGGTAAACACGACTTCAGTACGGATCTAACAATCTTACAGATGAAAAATAACGCTAGGTCCTGGGCACCGTTATGATCGCCTCAGACAAACGCCACTGAACCATCGTTACAATAACGATGAATAGTTCCAACAAAAACAACAGCTGTCGTTGGAACTCGTCAAGTTATAATTCGAACGTTTAAAAGTAGCTTTGTAGTTTGTACGGTGACGACCCTAAAAGGCACCTGTCATTTTTATTTGTCTTTCGAATTCAATTAAAACATAAGAACTAAAAACGTTTAACGATTTTTCGACCACATTAATTATATTTATAAATTTCATACACTGTTTGTAAAAGTGTGGTTTTAACCTAAAATAATAATTAACAAACATTGAATTTTACTACGTTCACATGCAATTTTGAATTTTTATTGAATTAATCTATAAATACTATATTTAGGTATTTTAATTAACATGCCGTATGTATCTAATTCTAGAATAAGATTGAATAATTAATTCGCACGATAGTAACGGACAATAACAACTAATTTATATGCATCTTAATCGGATTAACCTAAAACGAATTAGGTTAATGCGAATTAACGACTGCTTGTAAACTTAGTACAATATGTCGAGTTGGTTAAAGTAAACAAAATAATTATTATTGAAATTGATAATACACAATATGTGTACCGCGTTCACTATGCGCGTTAATCCGGGACATAGGTGCATACATAACGCATTATTAATGGGTATTACCCCAACGCGAATTAATTATTTAATTACATATATTCCTCCAATTGAATTATATTTTACTCTGGGATTAGGAATTGCGCGTAAACCTAAACAGCAATGCCCATTAACTTAATTCGCATTAAATTAATACGAGTAACTACTGCATGTAAACGTGACGTGGTGGTAATATCAATTTTATCAACAAATAAAATAAAGTCTATAATAATATGTAACGTATAGCAATATGTAATATTGGCAATTTTATTCATAACATGACATTGAAAACATACAAATTGAGTTACTGTCATTCAGTTGAACGTATAAAAGGGAGCGAATACAAAAATGTACATGTCTAAAAAACGATTAACGGGTTCCATATATTATCTCGGTGTAACCCAACACTTTATATTTTTATATATTTTAATCGCATTAATTTTGTGTGTTTTGGCTCTCCGAACTTTTTTTTTTGTTCCATTCATAAATTTAACGGACTGCCAACTCGATATGCATTGCGCTATAGCGGGATGTGGAACAGATTTCGGCGATACCAGAGGATATTTTTTATTTATGGACCATCGTGATTAAAATAATAACTATTACAAAACCGCGCTACAAGTATGACACACCGAGTGGCCATCAATGAGAACAGGAAAAAAGGCCAAGTCAAATTTTAACAATAATAGTACTGACGAGTTTTTTCTTATAACAAGTTCTCAAAAAAAAATTGTTGGATAAACCTTATGTATATCAGATAAAAAAAAGGATTTCTATTCGAGTTTGCCTTTAACCCACATGGTTTATTATTACGATGAAATTGGTCCCCACAATAAATTGTTAGCTTTAATTAAAATACTTTTTTAAATGGTCGATAAAAAAACCTTTATAATCATCAATATCAACTCATTTAAAATATTAATTATTGAGTTATTAACATTAAACGTTTAACCGCGAGATTATAACTGCGTTTACATGAAAATATTAAACAGCACTTTATTTTTTCCTGCTTTACATACTATTTATTTTCTTCAGTAAGTTATTTTTATTTTATGTCAGGCGTTGAAAATTTATAAATACAAAATATACGAGGAATGTAAAAAATAATTTATAATTAAACAACTATGTAGAGTCCTCGGAAACTGCCGTTGTACAAATGTGTAATACCTAGTGTTGTTGTTATTTTTATTTTTAAATGTTATGCTTAACACAATTCAACGAATAAATGAATGAAATCGTTTTAACTATTTACCGTGCATTAACACTTTTTTAACGATTTATACTATGGGCGATCGATCGAGCTAATTTTAGTTGCTGAACATATTTTTTGCGAATAAAGTACATAACTGAGTTATTATACTTAGATGCTTAGAAGAACTCAAGCAAATGATACGAAACCATACGGTTTCTAGCCGAATGCTATTAATAATAATTGAGAAGAACTCAACCGTCGTCGTTAAAACATAACGCGAGTACGGAAAAGCAATGATGGAAACACGCGCTGAGAACAAATTACCTGTCGCTTTTTTGGATTTCTTCGCTCGTTATCCGCAACGCCTTACACCGTTCACTTATTTAGAAACGAGCCGTAGTCGTTTAATTTAATAAAATTGGACGTCAAAAGGGCGAGAAAATAATATACCGAAGATTAACCACATCGCTGCTCTTTGTACGATAATAACATAAACAGCAGACGCGCGAGTCTGCGTTATCAAACATTTTGCCACTTTGGCGTCCATGTATCTTACAAGTGACAATACACTATTGTTGAAGGTCGAATTCGATCTTGTCTTTACGATAAAACGAATGTGTTTACATAATATCATTTTTTAATGATTTAATTATGTATTCTCTCCCTCGTGTGTGTTGCAAGTAATATGTTGGTTGAAATTTTACCTCTACCGATCATCCACTATTTGTCCTAAATATAGATGAGCTTATATCCCTTACGTACATATTGTTAGTGTCCAAATACGTGTCTGAACATTTTTCATCTTCGTCTTCTAATTTACATCGAGGTTTTTTTTTGTTAAAATATCTATATTATTTTTGTTTATCTTTATCTCAATGTATTACATATTCTCCGTACGTTTTCAGTAACAGACCAATAGTAGTTCATTAGAGTGTTTTCACAATAAAGTTACAACTGGGTTTGCTACGTTTAATGTATTTCGTTTATTTTTCGTTCCTCTTCAGATTTGCTTACAAAAAATAGTAAGTTGTTACGCTCCAGACGTAAGTATTGTTATAAGTTAAGAAAATAAAATAGGTATAAATTTTATTTATGTATAGATATGAAATAATTCGTCTTTCTAAAAGAGCCTACTAAACGAAAGCATTGTTTTCACTTTATTCACCTTATTAATTAAAAATATTACTCGTGTACAAGGTAGAGCCAGAAAACACATCCATCAAAAAGTTAAATACTTGGAGGAAGTTTAAAAACGTATTAGTTAGTAGTTTATATAGTTTTTATAACAAATTAAAATGAATGGCAGGCAACCAAACTTACTTTTTCTACAAAAATATTGTAAATACAAACATTTAAATTAATAGGTTTAAGTAAAGTAGATTTTATTTTTCATTTGAATCAGTTCGTGAGGTAATTTATTTCAAAACAGTTAAGCTAATACATTATCAAACTTCAAAGCTTTAACTATTCCTATTACGTTAAAAGGATAATGTGATGCGGGGACATAATCTTAAGTATACCAGGTAATAGTGTTTGGGTATAACCATGTTTACCAACAATGTTTAAACAAGCAAGCCTATTAATATATGACGGTACACATATGATTACCAAGCAACCACGTTTGATTATAAGGACGGGTTTCCACCCAAAATTCTTAATGGGAGTCTAAAAGAAAGTACACTTATTACAAGATACAAAGAAAAGCGGATGAAGTGAAACTTCTTTCAGAGTCATTCAACCGATAGAATATTAGGTTTGTATTGGAATAAAACTAAAAAATACTCCTAAAAATGTTATTTTCAATTGAAATTAATTAAATTTGTTATTATACCTAGGTTTTAATAACTAGGCTTTTTAAGCTGATTTAACCTATTATCGGCGCGGCGGCTTTAATAGTGATAACTTTTTATCATCAGCGCATAAGTGTAATTCTTTTATTATTTATTATTTCATTAATTATTTTAATATGAGTGGCTACTAATATATTTCCATAGCAATACAGAATATTATATAGTAAGTGTCAATTAACGAGAAATTAAAGATATTTGTATTAAAGTAGCTTCATTATTGAAATTTGTCACTATGAATTGTAATGCTAAACGTCAAACTAATTAGTTAGTTTCTTGTTCTTACAACTCTCAAAAACGTATTTATTAATTATTTAAATTTAATATAAGTTACAATACGCAGAGCTCTGCAAAAAAAAATTGAAGGATGAAAACACACAATTAAGTGATTCAAGCCGTTAGTTTATTAATAATAATAAATTTAAGTAATATAATAGAAAATATCGAGAGCGACAAAGAGAAGAAAACAACCAGCGAAAAAGAGAAGCCTGCGGCAACGAAATATGTACAACAAATTACTGAATTAATACCAGATTACCAACCGAGTGAGAATTGTTCATATTTAGTTATAATACAAGGGAATCACACAGGATTTCAACATTTTATTTTATTTTAATATGAATACATTTTTATACTTATTTTAGACATGAAAGAGATCTAATACACGTAAACGAAGCACAAAACTCTAACACTATAGCAATTGTGAAGTACATAAATTTGCTAACAACAATTTTAAAGATCATTTTACAAATAATCAGTTTCGACACGCTTGCTCTATCTGTAATAGACTTAGGTTTCAAAAATATTTAAAGAAACAAAATCATGAGAACCATGTATTCATTATTTTTTACATAAGTTATTGCATTGTATTTGTTTCATCCCCTGGTAAATTTAATCGAGTTACAACTTACATAAATTCATCATGGGACTATCATATTATGATGTTTGTTCTATTTACAATATAAATACATTATACATCATACATATTATATAAAGAAAGTAATGAACGGCGCAGTGTATACATATTTCATATTACACATGTATATAATATGTACTGTACGTTATTGTACTAACTGATTTATTGATGAAATTTTGATAATAAAATATAATATGTAACACGCACTACTGGTAAAGTTTTACAAAATTCCCAGCGCATAACCATTACAAACTATAAAATACATCATGCGCACAGTTAGAGGCGCCACTCGTAAATTTCCCTATACCGCATATATATTGATAAATTAAGCAAACTTAATAGGTACTAAGTAATTTATACGAGCTAATAAATTGTCCGTCGAGATGTACATACAAGTAAATCGACAAAGTCGCGCTTTTGCAGACATTCAAATAAACATAATAATATTATAATTATTGTTTCAGTACTGAAAATATTTAAACAGTGGACCAAACCGGCTATATATTTAATCCTGTCTTATGGTCGATTTCAAAGTCTTTGGCCAAGTTTTGCGTTTAGAATAATATTGATTGCGTTACCGCGACAGACGGACCAAAATATAAACCCCATTGCGTATTAACTTCTACGTATATTAGTTAGACATCAGTGAATAATATTTGTTTTTTACGGTTTTTGGTAACCTGCCAAGCCAATTGATTTCTATACAGTGACATTCCGTCATAATAGTGTATGTGTGAAACGTGTGTGACGTTTAAACAGAGTTATACATTTTATTATTGTTTTTGGCGAGCCCTTTTATAACAAACAAAAAACTCACTTATTTTAATATCTAATCATAAAAAAATGGGAAAAAATTCACTTTGAGATTTAAAAAATTAAATTATTGTAATGGCGTTGCGGTGTATATTATTTAATTTGTCAATTAGTTTTCGATAAATTATTTAATACGCTATTATTTAGCTCCAAAACTAATAATTCTGTTTCGTCTTGGACCGAACGGCTATACCACACTATATGACAATATTACGAATGAGAAAAATAATACATTATAACGTACGTACCGAGGGAAAATAGAGCGTCTCCTGGGACACATCAGAACGTCAGTCAACATTTAGACAGGCGTATCGTAGAGATTAGATACAAATTGTACATTATACACAGTGATTGTGTGCGCTCTACATTGTCAGCAGTTGGCGTAGATGGCAACCGGTCACCATCACGCCAAAGACATTTAACACTCGTCGATCCGGAAGGAAAACATTTAGCAGATATTTACTTTTATAATAAAATATATCATATTATTATGATAACACATAGATACCGTAATGCGAGACGCACACTACGCCTGTCTCGATGGAATACTAAACATTATTGCGTACTGGAGCGGTACATTAGATTATGAGATATACAATACGGTTTCGCTCGAGCCCAGTGTCATCACTGGCATTGTAATACCATCATGTATAATAATATTATTATATTATAGCATACGTACAAACACACATAAAAGCGGACGATCCACGATTTATACACCAGCCAATGATGCACTTATAAAATTGTCGGGCCCGTAGTTTTGGGGAGGGGGTGAAAGGGAAGGGACCTGACTCGATTATAGTGTAATGTCCTCCCGTCAATAACAATAAGCCGGATGTTTACCGCCAGACGTCATTGAGTGAAATCACTGATCTCGTCGTTTTTCCGCCGAAATTAATGGCGTGAGTGTTCAACAGCTTATGTTGCATTTGTAATTTCATTTATTATTAATTGGAAAAGATAATGCGAGAAGAACCTATAAAAAAAAAAAAAAAAGCAAAGCGTTTTACTAAATAAACGCACAAATTTACAATGTTTTTTATTAACAAATTTAATAAGCTGGCTGTTTTAAAAAAAATTAATGTAGTTATTATAAGAACTTATTTATTGTATTATTTAATGTAAACGTATTTAATGTACTATAAAAAATTATACACTCATGCTAAACTATACCAGGCGATTCGTTAACTATAGCATGTCAATAACATAAAAGATATTAGACTTTTGAAATTTTTTTTTTGATATAGTTTTATAGTTATTAGTTGGGACAAATTTAGAACCTCACTCCACCCCGTCTTAACTTTTAAACTTTAAAAACTTGAAAAATAATTATATAAAACTGGTTTTCGACCAGTCAAATTGTTTGGTAAATTATTCTTAATTAAAAAAGTTAATCTAATACATACGTTACGTTACTAAAAAATGTATACTGAGTTTTGCACCAAACTCGAAATTATATTCTTATTGAAATACAACTTAGGTTTATTAAAAGTATTAGATTTCAGAAGATGAGAATATAATTCAAAGTTTAAACATAAAAATGACAATAAACACACTATATTCTGAAAAACAAATTGATATTACTTTAAGATCGAATTATACGCCTATGATTTTTTAACTGAATCAATATAATGGATTAATTTTATAATATAAGTAATAGTTTTGTTTTTTTAAGTTGTATTTATATACACCAATTGCATTAAAAACCCAAACGCAAGTTATAAATAAACAAATATAATTTGTTTTGTTCAAAGGTCTGTTAATTTGAAATCGCGTTATGTTTTCTTTTGGATTTTTTATTTTATATTTTATTTCTTAAGAGAAGAAAGTGTTTTGTAGTGTCATCAAGGTGAGTTTTCCGTAAGTGCATCTTGGCACAAAAGTGTTTTCGACGAGAGCATAAAATTAATTATACCAAACAATAGCTGCTGTTACTCGAATTACAAATTAAAAATTCAATTTGTCATCACTTGGAGTCCTAATTGTATACGTTTATCCAATAAACAATATAATATAATTACCTATTATTATTTAAACGTTTTTTTTTTTGAGCGTTGATATGTAATAAATAAATATCTCGTTAGAGTACTAAAAATTATCAGTATTAATCACTAAAAAAATTAGGGACAATATGACGCATAAAAAAAATACCAGATGTTATAGGTTTAACAAGTTTAAACAAAATTATAAAACGATTGCTTATTTTTTTAGCTTCGATTTATTTGTTTTTATATAATCAATTAACGAGTTCGAAAATTGATTTTTTTTAACATCGAGTATATTAACTGAGCTTTTCGACGTCGATTTACTTGTTTTTGTACAAACAACAACATTATAATAATATGTATAATATAGGTATGTAAACAAAACTTACGAATTTTCCCCTTTCCAGGCGTAGATAACTCGGTAAATTAATGAATTAACACGTTTCCTGTAAACAAAAAATATCATTAATATTTCAATCACATGAAAAAACAGTATTATCCGTTATCGACAACGGCACGCGACATTATAGCATACATCTCTGTCATGACTTTTTTTTATGCATTATAGTTTATAGGTAAATAATTGTGATTTGTTATTGTTTATACAATATACATTGAATGTTCAAAATTTAATTTGTGTTTTAAGTATGTATTCAAACACGCGTACGCATAAAATGAAAAAATATAAAATTATAAATCCTGTTAATAACCATATGCCTTATATTATTATTCGGTTACTTGATTGCTTCGTTTATTCGAAGATCACTATGAACCTTGTTATTTTAATTTTATTTCTTTTCTGTATGAAATTACTACACTTTTCTTGGTCCTCTACCGTACGCAGTACACCTGCTACACCTGCATTAATAATATTGGTACCGTGCGCCAAAGACAAACAAATTGAAAAAACATTTTTCCTCCCTAAAATAATTCTCCAGGAGAGTTTCCGCATTAACAATTTTAATCCGCGGTGATGATTTTTCGTTTTGTATAAAGTTAATGGTAATACGAGGTGGCGCTGCGTGACGCGGGGAAGACAAAAAGAGAGCGCAGCAATACTTTCTGGATAAATGTTTACTGTCAGCCAACGAAAGGAAAAAAATGTATTTCAATCGTTATATAGCTCCGATGGGCTAAGTTTCGGAATGCATAATAAAGCAAAAACAAAAGAGAAAAATATTTTATGATTTTCTTTCTTTTCCCTGTGAATTATAATAAAACAAAAAAAAAACATCTACCGAATTGTTGTTACTGAGAAAATTTTTTTTTATTCTAACATTTACATCTGAAATCTTATAGATCGTGTTCACTACCGTAAGACAATCAAAATGTTTTGTATGTGGATTTCAAAAGAAGCTCTCGGGTAACATAAATATACAACTTAAATCTTGATCAAATGATGTTAAATTATTTACCAAAAAAGTTACTTCTCCTTTCGGTTTAGTTAGTTTGAACAGTCAAACTCAAAAACCCACTTAAAACACGGTTGACTAGACTCTAGTAGTAGTTTTTGTCGATAATATGTGTAAAAGCGTTTAGGAAATGCGTATGAATAAACCCGAGTGGACAGAGAAGATTGACGGCGGCAGACGATTTATTATAAGGATTAACTTTGCTCGTGTGCTGTAGTGCGGATTACAGATAAATCGTGTTTGGGGAAAAATGGAATTTTACTGCACCCGTGAAAAAGATTTTTCATTTCTTTTTTTTCTCAAAACATTAAAATTGTTGAGAGTTTATGGGTTGTTTCTGACACACGTCAATACGTCCGCCCTGATATACTCCACCACCCGCTCGACCATTTCTCATTCTTCGCTCTGGGTGTCTTCCCGGCCTCAGAAGACATATTTTACCCGTCGAAAAGTGTATTCGCATGATTTATGGTTAAAACCATCAGCGTGCCGCTATAGATATTTCACATTTTACACATATCGACTCAGCGCAGCCCCGAAAAGAAATGGTTGTATCACATGTCGCGTTGCCATCTAAATCGTTTTAACATCTATAATATGCATAGGCGCATTTTGAAAAGGCTCGGAAGTGGGTTGCATCAAAAATCAAAAATTTCCCTGGTAATAAATAAAGTAAATACAATTCTAAATACTGATGGTTACAATATGGATAGACGGACTGACGGACAAACACAACGACCTATGTTAAGAAACTTAAAAAGTCATGTATAAGGCTTAAATTAAAATCAATTTAACTAGGATAATGTCTAATCGTTTATCTATTAACGTCCCAGAAAAAGAAAAATCTAGTAAAATTGTAAACAATCAAACTTAAAACTACTTTTTAGAATATTAGAAATTATTTAGGACGTGCACACCTACTTATGTATATAATATGTATGTATGTGTATTCAATTATATAATTAAATTAAATTTAGTATAAATATATCTATAATTATTATCAAATAATATATGTGTGTTTAAATGTTGTTTTAAGGAAATCGATAATAGACAGAAATGCCTACAAAACCGTAGGTTATCAGTTGATAAAATAAATAATTAGGAAAAAAAACAAACTTTTACAATAAATAGTGGTTTTTTTTACTGGCAGATAATTTAGTTTATGAATTATTCTTTAACTTTGTTGATTCATGTTTTTACTGAAAAAATACAATATATAAGTAATCAAGCCTAGACCGCTGTTAAATTAAATCGAAATTCTGTATAACAAGATAATACTCGATGAAATCGCGTTGTAAAAATTGCTATATAGTTCCATGAACTTTATTTTAATTACTCGTTCAAAGCATTCGTCGGGTTTTCATGGCGCACTTACATACTTTTATTCACGTATTTGTGCAACCCTAGTACAACTACGCAGAAAAGCCGTAGCTAGGGAGAATAAAAAATTAATTAATAAGCAAATAAAAAATAAAAAATAATGATAAACTTGGCCCGATTGCAGAAAAGTACCGAGGGTCCTGAGAAATTTGAAATACATAAATATTTAAATGGGGAAAAAAAACAAAGCTACCGGTATCACCCGATTAAATTAATATTAATTTATGAGTTAACTTTTGTGCAAACCCCTACGGTTTAGTTCCTTTTTTTTATGTTGGAGCCGGGAAGTCCACCGGTCAGTAGAGCCCCACACAGGATCGGTGCCTATAATTCAAAGTTCGATGCACGGTCGGTTTGCTGTCGGTATTTTTCTCCGCCCGTTTTTACACCCTTGCACACGACAGCCTGGCTACAGGTATATAGCTATGTCTATACAGATATATCGCCACCGCCGCAGCGGTACTGCTTAATTGAATTAGCGGGAGACGAGGAAACGTAATTAAAACTTGCAGCCGAGTCGGTAATGAAAACGGCAACGGGACGAGCAAAGGGAAAAAAGAACGGGCGAGTTCGGAGAGCGGCGAAAGGCTGCGAGGACACAAATTTCTGAAAACCGTTATGCGATTGCAGAGGCGGATAACTTTTGGAGACCGGACACGTGCACGTGACTACCTAAAGCCAAGGATACAGGCTGGCAGTTATTGTAAATTAAAGAGTTTTTCAGTGCCGTTTTTAAAACCAAGCTTTTGTTTTTTATAAGGTTTAGAATCTTATGTCCACTCGCAGTTTGAGCAACCTCGTATTTTTAAATTTTGCAACACTTTTACAACGTCTCTAAATAATATCCATGGCTATTGTATTATATATGCTGCTGTCTTGTTGATTCGAAAATTTGCAATACGAGAAACAAGATCTGATCAATGTACAACTGTTGTTTGTCATTGTCAAATGTTTGAAAATTTAGGTTCATCGCATTTTAACTATGGTGACTCGTTAAACTTAAAGATCCCGTGATCTTATTTTTTAGTTTATAATTTCTTTGGCAAATACTCTACAGTGGCAGTGACATTACTTTTTAACAGTCATTGCCTGCCTTGTTCCTTAAACATTCCAAGTCGCGTTCACTAAATTTACGACGCGCACGGGTAAAATAATAAGCAACGCTTTTATCGTGTCAAGCCGGTAAAATATGATCTTTTAATATTTTATTAATCGTTTAATTAATATTCACGTCATCCTAAATACCACGACAATAGCGTATTATATCGTTGTAGCAACCCGGACAGTGTATATGGGCGAGCGACGAGGCAAGGAATGCATGCGTTGTGGTATCGGCTTTAACACATAAAGTTTCTTCGGTTAAACTCTGATCATAATAAAATATGGGCAGATATTATTATTGCTGTATAAGTGGCAGTAAGTTGTAACGAAACAAGAGTCGCTCGGACCACTGATTTCAAAACATAATATGTACAATATTTATGATCTGCTGTCATAAAGCCAGCATATTGCAATAGCACGAAGGGTAGGTAACCAGGTGCCACGACATCAACAAATACCCTTGAGATGCCTACGAGATGTGTTCAAAATCATTATTTTCTTCAACACCATCTGTGCTTCCATTTACCTCCGAAAAATAATAATAATGGTTGGAACATGTGTATAAATTTTGTACCTACTACACTTAAGATAAATGACTGAGTACATGAACTTTTTTTTCTTAACACGTTTGCATGTTATTATTATTTGTGAGTTTTCTCCATTTTACAATTTTACATCATATAAAAGTTACCAAATAGCAATGCCGAGGATAATTTACGACCAATTACGGGGAAAATGCATTACAAAGGCAAAACACGTTTCACAAAAATTATCCATCGCCATCCTTCACGCAGTAATAAGGCGGCGTTTCAAAGATTCCAAGACATCAAGTCAGACTATTATTGTAACAGCATGTGTTTATTTTATAGAAGGATCCATGAATGAGATATTTATAAGGAATTTCGAGTTACTCAAGTAAATTTTAGTAATTTTCTTTTGTTGTGCGGTCAAGTTATAGGTAAAATATTTTAGAAGAAGTATAGGGAAACACGTTCTATTTGGCTCCTTAAACCCATACTAAATTACACCCTATGTAATGAATATAATATAATTTAACTGCTATGAAATGCTATGCTTAAAATTGTAGAGGATGGTCGCAGCATTTTGTTTTAAAAATAGAATTTATATTTATTTTACAAAAAGCTAGGAAACGGCATATTGTAAAAAAATAAGCAACCCAACTGTAAAAATTGAATCCAAATTTCTGACTTCATTTTTGAATCCATTTGAAGGCTTTTTTTTATTAAATTAGGTTAGATAAAAATGTCTAATATTATTAAAAAAAATGTGTTTCCTTGAGACGGTTCAATGTTTTATTCATTTATTTATGATATTCGCACAGTACAAAAGTACTTTCTGACAGATAAGACTCTTGAATGTTCTCCGGGCGGGATATCTGTGGTTGGCGTTGGCTGGCAGTACTATGAAAAATATTATCGACCATGAAAATGGCGTTACCATGTCTGGCAGACGACTCGGTTAACCGTTGATTAGTTTCGGTAACAAAAGACCGTCGAATTGAAAACGGTGCACCATTACGCCGCTGCTTTACT